CCCCCCCCCCGCCTCTGGTTCCCCCCCCGTGGGGAGGGGGGTGCTGCTTGGGGGGGGTGTGTGGGTGGGTGTGTTGTAGTTTAGCTGGAGGTTGGGGTGTGTGTAATTCTTGGGGTACACAGCTGGGGGGGGCAGGGAGAAAACCAGGGGGGGATGTAGCCTGGGGTGTGCGTGGGGTGTGCATAAACTGGGGGGTGTATAGGCTGGGGGGGGTGTAAGTTGGGGTGTGCATAGGTTAGGGTGTGCATAAACTGGTGGGGTGTGCATAGGTTGGGGTGTGCATAGGTTGGGGTGCCTGAAGCTAGGGGTGTGCATAGTTTGGGGTGTATATAGGTTGGGGTGTGCATATCTTGGGGTGTATACAGCCTGGGGTGTCTGAAACTAGGGGTGTGCATAGGTTGGGGTGTATATAGACCAGGGTGTGCGTAAGTTGGGGTGTGCATAGATCAGGGTGTTTATAGACTGGGGTGTGAGTAAGTTGGGGTGTGCATAGGTTGGGGTGTTTATAGGTTGGGGTGTATATAGACTGGGGTGTGTGTAAGTTGGGGTGTGCATAGGTTGGGTTGTACATAGGTTGGGGTGTGCATAGGTTGGGGTGTATATAGGTTGGGGTGCACATAAGTTGGGGTGTGCATATGTTGGGGTGTTTATAGGTTGGGGTGTGCATATCTTGGGGTCTGTACAGCTGGGGTGTGAATAGATTGGGGTGTGCATAGGTTGGGTTGTATACATAGGTTGGGGTGTATATAGACTGGGGTGTGCGTAAGTTGGGGTGTGCATAGGTTGGGGTGTTTATAGGTTGGGGTGTATATAGGTTGGGGTGCACATAAGTTGGGGTGTGCATAGGTTGGGTTGTATACATAGGTTGGGGTGTCTGAAGCCCGGGGTGTGCATAGGTTGGGGTGTATATAGGTTGGGGTGTGCATATCTTGGGGTGTATACAGCCTGGGGTGTCTGAAACTAGACACAGCTGGGGGGGGCAGGGAGAAAACCAGGGGGGGATGTAGCCTGGGGTGTGCGTGGGGTGTGCATAAACTGGGGGGTGTATAGGCTGGGGGGTGTGTAAGTTGGGGTGTGCATAGGTTAGGGTGTGCATAAACTGGTGGGGTGTGCATAGGTTGGGGTGTGCATAGGTTGGGGTGCCTGAAGCTAGGGGTGTGCATAGTTTGGGGTGTATATAGGTTGGGGTGTGCATATCTTGGGGTGTATACAGCCTGGGGTGTCTGAAACTAGGGGTGTGCATAGGTTGGGGTGTATATAGACCAGGGTGTGCGTAAGTTGGGGTGTGCATAGATCAGGGTGTTTATAGACTGGGGTGTGAGTAAGTTGGGGTGTGCATAGGTTGGGGTGTTTATAGGTTGGGGTGTATATAGACTGGGGTGTGTGTAAGTTGGGGTGTGCATAGGTTGGGTTGTACATAGGTTGGGGTGTGCATAGGTTGGGGTGTATATAGGTTGGGGTGCACATAAGTTGGGGTGTGCATATGTTGGGGTGTTTATAGGTTGGGGTGTGCATATCTTGGGGTCTGTACAGCTGGGGTGTGAATAGATTGGGGTGTGCATAGGTTGGGTTGTATACATAGGTTGGGGTGTATATAGACTGGGGTGTGCGTAAGTTGGGGTGTGCATAGGTTGGGGTGTTTATAGGTTGGGGTGTATATAGGTTGGGGTGCACATAAGTTGGGGTGTGCATAGGTTGGGTTGTATACATAGGTTGGGGTGTCTGAAGCCCGGGGTGTACATAGGTTGGGGTGTATATAGGTTGGGGTGTGCATAGGTTGGGGTGTTTATAGATTGGGGTGTGCATAGGTTGGGGTGTCTGAAGCCCAGGGTGTGCATAGGTTGGGGTGTATATCGGTTGGAGTGTGCATAGGTTGGGGGGTATACATAGGTTGGGGTGTGCATAGATTGGGGTGTCTGAAGCCCAGGGTGTATATAGGTCGGGGTTTGCATAAGTTGGGGTCTCTGAAGCCCAGGGTGTGCATAGGTTGGGGTGTGCATAGGTTGGGTTGTATACATAGGTTGGGGTGTCTGAAGCCCGGGGTGTGCATAGGTTGGGGTGTATATAGGTTGGGGTGTGCATAGGTCGGGGTGTGCATAGGTTGGGGTGTACGCAGCCTGTGGTTCCTGTGGCCTGGGGTGTACACACCCCCGGGGTGTGCATGGCCTGGGGGGGGGTGGG